CGCCGCCTCACGCGCCGCTGGAACGGGGAGCCCGCCGGGGAGCGCGCGAGGACCTGGCGGACGCGACAGACGCCTGGCCTGGCCCCACCCCGCTGGGAAAGGCGGGCGCGCGCCAATGCGCATGCGCCTCGCGTCCTCTCCCCCGTAAGGTCCGATCGACCCCGGCCGGAGGTGGGGGCGCTTGGGGTGGCTTGGATGTTGGCTTGGCGTGGCCCTGGGGAAGGAGCCCAGCTCTCCTGAGATGCAAAGTGCGGCCGGTGGCTTAGCCCACCTTGGGGCTGCAGGGCCACTTCATCCTCCTTTTTGAGGATGGAGTGACCCTGCAGCCCCAAGGGCATCTGAATGCAGCTGATTATGTCCAGCAGTTTCGATCAAGCGATTGACCTAGCAGAATAGAAGGAATATTGATGCTTTGAACTTTGGTGTTGGAGAAGATCCTGAGAGTACCATGGACAGCCAAGAAAACAAATGGTTCATCAAAGAAATCAACCCGGAGTTCTCACTCCAGGCATGAATGGCCAGGTTCAGATTATCCTACTTTGGACACGTTATGTGAAGACCCAGCTCTCTGGAGAGGGCTCCGATGCTGGGAAAGGGGGAAGGAATGAGAAGAAGAGGACAACCAGCAGCAAGGTGGAGGGGCTCAGTTACAGAGGCGGTGGGTGCACTGTTGGAAGAGCTGAAGGACCAGTTTAGGGATAGATTGTCATGGAGAAAATCTATCTATATGGTCGCTAGGAGTTGAAAACAATGATGGTGCATCATCATAATCAATTGGCCTGACATTGCTTGGCACCTTAGTGAATGACTGGATGGGTGGGGGAGTTCTGGACTTCTCAGCAGTGTTTGATGCCAGCAGTCTTGGCATTACTCTAGATTGTACTGAGGGACAGTGAGTTGCAGTGGGTTCGATCCTTCCTATAAAGTCGCACCAAAAAGTGTTCCTGGGGAACTATGATTTGATGCCTAGGCTAATAGTCTGTTCTTCTTGTTCCTTATGCTGTTATTTATATGAACTTATTTATTATATTTCAAAGTTAGATACCGCCCACCTCACGGAAAAGTGACTTGATAGGAAAGATTGGACCCACTCATCTGGGGAGTTGGGTGCCACCAATATGTCCATGACACTAATCTCTACTCTTCCTTGCCATCCAGTTCCAAGGAATGTATTATTAGGTATGTTGAATTGCCCAAGTTATATAAAAGGCAGGATAAAAGATCATCATCATCATCATGATCTGACTGTGCAACCAACAATAGTAATTGTCAAACAACAACATCTGCCTATCTCAGGTCCTTGGGAAGGACTGGATAGGTGGATAAAAATGCTAAATCCAGTCTAAACTTCTGGCTGACTGTGTGACCAACAAAAATGATAATAAAGAACAAGTTGAAATCAAATCCAGCCAAGATGGAGAAGCTGTTGTAAATAAGAAGCTAGATTCAAGGCTTCTATATTGGACGTGATTGCACTTTCTGTAACTAAAAGAGCAGTTTCAAAGTCTGAAAGCTGGTGGTCCTTGATGTTCAGCTGTCACTGGATTTGTTGATAGTAGTTGTGGCAAAAGGAAAATTTATACAGTCGTGACCCTTCAGCTATAACCCTTCCTGAATTAGTTTGATTTGGCAATTTTAGTCTGGTTACATACAACCTTAATTATTACAATGCGTTCTATGTGAGGCTACCCTTGGAAGTTATCCAGAAGTTGCAATTGGTGTAAATTTTGGCAGCTGGGCTATCTTCTTTTTACACCCCCACCAGCACTGGCAAAGCAGGCCACAGCAGTTATATAGAGAGCAAACCTCATCCCATTTTAGCACTGAAGATGTGACCTAGCCGGGGAATGAAACATTTGCAAGAAAAGAACCAAGCTCAGAGAACCCCAAGGACTCCACAGTACCTTCTTTTTGACATAGATACTAGCTTAATAGATAAGGGGAATGTAATTGACATAGTATGCCTAGATGTCTACAAAGTCTTCAACAGACCCTCCCCTGATAATTCTCTTTAATAAAATGGTAAAATATGGGCTAGATAATATTAGTATTAGGTGGATTTATAGTTGGCTGAATGATCACACCCAAAAAGTGATGTTAATGGCTCAACTTTTGCTTAGAGAAAAGCGTTGAATGCATTTTATTAGTGAGTGGATTGAGGGGAAGATTATTAAATTTGCAGATGACACAAAGCTGGGAAGGGTAGCTTTAGAGAAGATATCTTAACAAACCTACACAGGTTTGAGTTGGGGGCTGAAATTAATAGAATGGAATCTGCATCTGGGAAGGAAAAAAGAAAGGATTATGTGACACTTGTACTGAAAGATTTCTACTGGTTACCAATTGTTTACCAGGCACACTTCAAAGTGCTATTATTAATCTTTAAAACCCCAAATGCTTGGGATGTGGCTATCTGAGGAAAAGCCTCTTTCATTATCAAATCATCCTGTTAAGAAGAGGAAGCTTACGTATCTAGGAAGTGGGCCAAGGCCTTCTCCTGGGTCACTTTCAGCTTATGGAATGCTTTTGAACATTTTGTTAGAGGCCCTGAGTATTTGTTCAGATAGAAAAATGGAGTATTAATTGAATACATGAAATCATTCAACAAACTATTGTTAGTCAAACCAAGGCTTAGCACACTGTGTGAACCTAGTTCATAGAATGGTGAAAATTCCGAGATGTGAGACAGGACTGTTCTGTTTCAGACTAAACTTCTGAGTACTGCATGTTCTCTCCTACCCACAAACTCTATACAAAAACAAGTCTCTGCGAACAGCAACAAAAGATATATCATGCCACCTAAATTTCAGAGGAGAGGGGGTTGCAGGCCAATAACTCTCCCCTCTTTTTTGCTTTTTCACATGTAGCATATTTTTCCTTATCTCATTTAACCTATAGGCTGAAGTGGAACAGTCCTACCAGTTTAAGATGTTGATATCAACTCTGTTGCTATCATCATACCTTTATGCAGCCTTTGTTGTATATCCAAAGCCAATAAAACTTTTGCTAAAGGAATTGCAGCCCACAGAAGATGATACCACTGTGTTCCCACGGGGTATCGATGTGCCCATGGACATCTCATCAGATACTTGCTGGGGTGTCTGCTTTACTTGGCTTTATTTCTAAGAATGCTTCTGAAGCTCCCATAGAGATATAGACATTATCTGAAAATAAACATGGCAAGTGGCTGTAATCCAGTGTTTTTCTGGAAATGTGCACACTTGCCCAGAGCCTACAAAAGCAAGCTGAGGGAGGAGACAGAATCTTGCAGAATGATGGGACGGCCGGGGACAGCCTCATCAATATTATTTGATGGCTGTATTCACATGATACAAGCATAAACCAGTCAACCACATTAGCGTGGTATTTGTACTTTGTTTTAGTTGGTCTTTGCTTTAGAATAATACATTGTAGTAAAGGTAGTTTGAAAAGCTCTGGTACACCTGTTCCCTTTTTATTATGTAAAAAAATAATTTGCTTGCTATTTTAAAAGGGTAATATAAGTTTCACAAGATTAACCTGGTCAAAGTCAGTATCCAATGAATGAGTGGGTCAGTGCTTATTGTGACACAAGGCAGCCAGTGGGTCTAGGCAACAAGAAGTCAATCAGACTTGGGAGGACCTGGAGAAATGATCAGGGGGAGGAAGGAGGCTAAGGGTTATGGAGCAGGAGGGAGGAATCCAAGAGGTTATAGACCAAGAGACAAATGCTGAGGTGAAGAGTAGGGAGCTGAATGAAACAGTTCAGGAGCAGGTCGCAGAGCTGGAGGCAGGCAATCAGGAGAATACTCTAGAGCAAGAAGAAGGAACACAGGAAGATAGCACGGAGCTAAATGGAGACATCCCAGAGGAGAATGGAAGGGATTGTGAGTTTGTGGCTGGAGCTCGGCCAAAGATCAAAGAGCAAGTTCAAGGAGGACAGGAAGACTTTACCGAACAATCTGCAGAAGCCCCAACAAGGAATGCAGAATCAGCTGGAGCAGGCCAAGGTTTGTTCAGAGGGTTTTCAGTAGGAACTCACAAAAAGATCCTGAGGCAGGCTGGGAGATCCTGGGAAGAAGTCACAGAGAAAGTGGGAACAGCAGAACAAGATGGCCAAGAGGCAGGCCTAAAGCTTGTCAGAGATCTGTTGGCAGTTGTCACCAGATCTGACCTTCCACATGAAGAAAAGTTGGAGTTGGAATTTGTGACCCTTCAGTTTATGATGGGAGGCAACGTGCATTTGCTTGGGGAGTTGCAAAGCCAGGCGGTGGTGGAGAACTTCCGACAGGAAGTGTTTGCAAAATTCCCTATACCAGCTTTCCATGTGACCAGCTCAGTGATCTGCTGTGATCAAGTTGCCACCCAGTGGCCTGAGAGATCTCAGCTCTTGAATGAGAATGGCTGTTCCCGGCAACAAGAAAGAATCTACTCCCAGCTCATCTTCTTCCTGTGCAGAGCCCCTTTCCTTAAGTCTTGGGACCAACTGGATCGACTGGCCGAAATGCTACACAAGCTGAAGAATTGCATCTATTATAACCCAGTGGCCTTGGTTGGAGTCATTGTGCAGGTGGATCCAGATCCAGGATTGGATGCAGAACAGGAGGCCCGGGCACGGCGCTGGCTGAGGTGCTTGCTAGATGGGTTCTTTTGCTGTGATTTGTTGTTAGACCATGATGGGACAGAGCCAGAAGTTCAAGTCCAGGTAGCTGTCTATCAGTCGGGCCAACCTGAAAGAGCTTTAGAAGTCAAGAGAGCAGCTTGTCAGGCAATTCGAGCAGCCCTGAAGTTCTGAATGGGCACTACTGATGACCACTCTGATCACATGAGGTAAGCTCAAGGGCCTGGAATAACAGTGTGATCTTGGGTCTCACATCATGCTGAGCTAAAGTTTGCTTTAACCATGGTTTGTTGAATAAGCTGCAGTAATTGGGTATGTATTGCTAAGGCAATATCAAGCAAACGTGGGACTGATTAAAAGAAGGAATGAATATATAAACCCTGTTCATACTAAAACACCAGTGATGGGGATAGGATTATCCAGAACATGTATATAGCAAGTGCTCAGTTTTAATAAGAGCTGAACAGGTATCTAGATGAGAAAGAGATCCTGTGCAACAGGAGAAAGAATAAACCTTCAACACACATGGGCCATGCCTACTTTGAAAGATTCAAGGCAGGAGATGAAGGTAGCTGAGTTCAGTCTTCATACTAAGAGCCAGTTAAACAAAGCATTCATTAGATTTATATCCAGAAGTTCAAAGTGATATATGTAAGATTTTTTTTCTATATTTCCTCCCCCCCAAAACAGTCTATGAGATAGCTGGGTTGAGAGAGGATGGCCTAAAATCCAGTGAGTTTTCACGGCTGAGAGTGGATTGGAATCTGGATCTTCACAGTCCTAGACCAACACTTTATTCACTACAGTACACTGGCTCTTCTTGCAAATTATAGTTGTGTGCATGGGCATTTGTGGTGGGGAGAGAATGATAACATGCAAATACTGTGACTTGGGTACTTGTGTTCAGAAGTAATGGTATTTGTATGAAAATGAGCATGTTGTCAGCATTGCAATTTGCTACGGGCACTGCTGGTACTGTACATAGAATTTAGACATTACACTAAGCTATAAATCATAATTTTTATACCACAGTAGCTGAGTTCACAGAACATTTAAGCCCAAACTAAATCAACTATAATTGTAGCTTAGCCTATCACTGTCATGGTCTTCTTGATATGGTCAATTGACTAATCAATAAAGGTACTATACTCTAATTTGTTTCTCAGTTCACACCTTTGGAAGACTGTATAAAACATAATTTTCTATGTTTTAGCTAGGACCTCCACTAGACTCTAAGTTGATACAGAGGATTTCAGTATCTAGAAGGAAAGAAAGCAGACTATCTCAACTCCTTTCATTCAGGTTTCAGGTGTGGGCATAGGATGGGAACAGCATTATTCAATTTTGTGGATGACTTCTGTCAGGACTTGGATGGAGGTAGCACAGCCCCCTCATCCTTTTAGGACTCTTGACAGCTTTTGATACCATTGATCATGGTATCATCCTAGACCCCCTGTGAAGGTTGGGAATTGGAGGCACTGTTTTGCTCTGTTTCCATTCCTTAGCGGACAGTTCAACTGGGTGGCAGTGGAGAGATTGGCCAGGAGGTCACTTCCTTGTGGGGCACACAGCTTGGGCCTGTTCCCCTTCCTTTTTAGCATTTACATGAAGCCACTGGGAGAGGTCATTCATCCATTTGGGAATGTGGTTTCATCAGTGTGCTGATGATTCCCAATTATACATCACCACCCCGGGTCACGCAGGAGATGCTATCAATGCCTTGTCCCAGTGTCTACAGACTGTCAGGGTCTGTATGAGACATAACAGTCTCCCTGAATCCCAGCACAGTGAAGTTGCCAATGATTTCTCAAGATGCTCTGGCTGCAAACATGATCGGTTTTTTGGTAGCTGGGGGTGCATCCCCTCTTTTTCTGCAGTCAGGGCTCACAAGGGGTTTGGTGATTACATCACACAAGCAGGTGGGAGCAACATTTTATAATTTGGGGATAGTGTAAGATCCCTGCCCAGTGCCCCAGTTTTATCTGTACTAAGCCTATCCAAAGGCTTAATACACCTTTATTTCTTAAACTGCCAAAGTACATCAATTGGATTACTGTAATGCGCTCTACATGGGGCTACCCTTGAAGAGTATCCGGAAGCTACAGC